AAGACTGGTAAAACCCAAGATGCTCAAAGGCCTTTGCTTTTTCCTGTGTTTTTCCCTCAATGTTATGAAAAGCAGTCTTATTGCTGTGCACTTCTAACCTGCTCTAACTTTTCTTTCAGTAACACATTTCACATCCTGAGGCCTACAAAAGCTCCAGGTTTTGTTTATGCCTGGCTGGAACTGATCTCCCATCGGATATTTATTGCAAGAATGCTGGCACATACACCACAGCAGAAGGTGTGGCTGCAGTTTATCTTTTCTGAATTAAAAAGCTCACCCAGATGTTTATCTGGTGTGGTGCTGTTTCACATTTCTGGAAGTGCATGGCTGTTCTGTTTTTGTTGTCTTCCATATTCACAGTAACCTAACTGCATGGAGCAGAGTCTGTGTCAATAACTATGGAACACAGGGTTTATTGAATTTGATAAGCATTTGCCAATGTCTAGAAGAGCTGTAGCCTTCCTTCTAGGCTAAATATTGTCAGCTCAATATGGCATGTTGAGGGTTCTGGAACCACCCATGGCACAATGATGTGCAGGTGAAGCCCTTGAAATGAGCCATGCTGCATTCAGTGGATGAGTTGGCAGTTGCTAGCTCTTCCATCCAAGTTTATATAAAGATCAATCTAATTATAGTTTTGAAATTAGGGTAACTGGTCTTCATTGCATGTTTTTCACCTGCTGTTCTTTTCTTGACAGGGTTGGCCTATGTATGCCCAGTTATTGATTGATCTGTTCAAGTACTTGGCTCCTTTCCTTAGAAATGTGGAACTCACCAAACCTATGCAAATTCTTTACAAGGTAAAAAAATGTCAACTAATAGATGCTTCCAATCAAAGTTGTCTGAAAGCAGAGATATTCTGGCAGCAAAATAGAATTAGCTGTTTTCTTCTAACTTACATCTGAGAGTTGAATTTAAATTATGGGGAGAAGCAGGCTGCCCTCCCAGATTAGTTTCCTTTTGATAATGTTAGCCATGTGACATAGAATGATGGCTCTGCAAGCTTTTGGACAGTTTCAATAGTTAGACACCTCTTATATTTAATGTTTTATTTCACAGGGCACTCTGCGTGTGTTGCTGGTCTTGTTGCATGATTTCCCAGAATTTCTTTGTGACTACCACTATGGGTTCTGTGATGTGATCCCACCTAACTGTATTCAGCTAAGGAATCTGATCCTGAGTGCCTTCCCACGGAACATGAGGCTTCCAGATCCTTTCACCCCCAACCTAAAGGTAGAACTTACTTTAAAGGAGTTTGGTAATAGGAAACTTTAATGCTCAAAATACTCTATCCAGGTTAGTATTATCTAATTAAATCTTTGGGTATCTGCTAGGCAACTAATCCAGGAATGATTAGAAGGAAACTTTCTCACGCTGTCCAAGCACTGTCCTGTTGCTCTTCTCTGCCTGAGCTGTGCAGTGTGATGGGAGCGAAGCTGCAGTGCTCACTGTCACTGAAGAAGGCTGTTCTTGACTTGTGTGGATGTTTGTGCTTTTTGAAACTACCAGAATGTCTGGAGTGTAGATGGGGAGACCCCAAAGGCAGTGACTGAACTTTCCTATGGCCTTCACCCCTGAATTTTTTTACCCTCTCAGTTCTTCAAGACATCATGTAATAAGTTTGCATGTTAGATATCAACTTTCTTCTAAAATCTGCAAAAGTCAGACCTTGCCATTTTGTTGATGGAAGGGAAAGTGATCAGCAGCAGTAGTTGATGTAATATTGCTTATAGATCTTCTTTTGAATTTGTTCCATTGCTGATTGTTTAGTTGACTGGGTTTTCTGTCAACAGGTGGACATGTTAAGTGAGATTAATATTGCTCCACGAATACTCACAAATTTCACTGGGGTGATGCCACCTCAGTTCAAGAAAGACTTGGATTCCTATCTCAAAACCCGTTCTCCAGTCACCTTTTTGTCTGACTTGCGAAGCAACCTACAAGTAAGTTTGAGGTTTTTGAGATTTCTGTGGGTGCTCAATTTAAATAATGTGGCAGAAATGATCTCACTGGTTCAGCCACCATCCTTTCCTGCAGAAAATTTGCTGGTGTGTTGGCCAACGTGTTTTCCCAGCAGTAGAAAAGCCTGTGAAAATGCACAGAATTCTTCTGCCACTCCCTGATAGGATGTGTTGAATCTGATTAACTTTTGTCTCCAAATAGGTTAATTGTTACAGAAATATATGGATCCTCATGCCAATACTTCAAGGGTAAAAAAGGTTAAATTAGCTAAAGCCCAGTTCAGAACCATGGCTAAAACCTCATTTCAGACATCCCATGGCTTGGCTTGCAGCAGTCTTGATTCTGAAGTTGGACTTCCTCAGATAATTGCTTAGACAAAAACATTCAACGAGGGGGATGTTTCAGCCAGCATCTGGCTGGTGAATTCACATTGCCTTATCTGATGCTTTCCTTTAGGCAGAGTGTAAAAACAAATCTGTTGTGTTAACAACTTTGCTGATGTTTTTAAATATATATACACACATATATATACATGTGCTATAATATATGTTTTCTAATATATGTGTATTAGAAAAGGCTAAGTGCCAAATTGAATTTGTGGATGTCCCAGTGTGTTGTCTTCTGGATAATCAGTAAGATTCTTGGATGCTGTTGCTGTATATGCTGTACCTTTGAGTGCTGAAGGAATTATTTATTGACTGTTAATGCTTTTCATATCTTTGCTATTATCAAATAGGTATCAAATGAACCTGGCAACCGATACAACATCCAGCTGATCAATGCACTGGTGCTCTATGTAGGTACTCAAGCTATTGCACACATTCATAACAAAGGCAGCACACCCTCCATGAGCACCATTACCCACTCAGCCCACATGGACATCTTCCAGAATTTGGCAGTAGACCTGGATACTGAAGGTGAGCTGGAAACATTACTAGTTCATGCAATGTCACATTTACAGCAAGTGGGCCCTCACTTTAAAGAGGACATTGAGGTGCTAGAATGTGTCCAGTGAAGGGCAGCAAGGCTTGTGAAAGGTCTAGAAAATATGTCCTGTAAGAAATGGCTGAGGGAGCTGGGTCTGTTAAGTGTTGATAAGAGGAGACTCAGGGGAACCCGAGCTCTGGAGGGTTGTTGTAGTGAAGTTGGGGTCTTCTACCATGTGTGCAGTGAGAGAACAAGAGGAAATGGCCTTAAGGTGTTACAGGGAAGATTTAGATTAGATACCAGAAAAGGTTTTTTCAGTGTTAGGGTAGTCTGACACTGGAACAGGCAGCCCAGGAAGGTGGTGGAGTTGCCATCCCCGGAGGTGTTTGAGAGGCATCTGGATCTGTTGCTGGGTGATTTAGTGGTTATGGAGTTACAGGGATAGTGCTGGGTAGATGGTTCGACTTGATGGTCTTAAAGGTCTCTTCCAACCTTGATGATTCTGTGATTTCATGTAGCTGATAGTGAATTCACAGAAATGAATGCTACATTAGAATATTAAACTGACTATAGAGCAATGTTGTAACCAAAAGTTCAAAGTATTTGAGGGAATTAGAAGTGCCTTCAGTGAAGAGGAATTCTTACTTCTCCATCAGCCTGGGTTAATACAGCTTTTACATATCTTCAGTTGGTTTTGTGTTGAGTACCTCCATAAGGCTCCCAAACATTAGTCTCAAGCACTACTGGTTACTTCTTTATTCCCCTTTGTGTGCAAGGGAAGCCGTGTGTACTCAGTGTTCTCTCCTGCAGGCCGGTACCTCTTCCTGAACGCCATCGCCAACCAGCTGCGGTACCCCAACAGTCACACCCACTACTTCAGCTGCACCATGCTCTACCTGTTTGCAGAGGCCAACACAGAGGCCATCCAGGAGCAGATCACCAGGTGAGAGGGACGGTGTTTACCTTGCCAACATGCAGCTTTTTGCTTTCCTTCTATATTTTTTATCTTTGAGCTCTAAGTGTTCTTACTTTTGGATTTCAGGGTTCTCTTGGAACGACTGATTGTAAATAGGCCTCATCCCTGGGGTCTCCTTATTACGTTTATTGAGCTGATAAAAAATCCAGCCTTTAAGTTCTGGAACCATGAGTTTGTTCACTGCGCTCCAGAAATTGAGAAGTGAGTATAACTTAACCAGAGAATCATTAAAATGATATCTCTGAAGCAGTTGAACCTTGGGTTTTTGGTGCTGTCACATCCATTTGCTGTCATAAATGGACCTACCATTGCTTTGCTTCTATGTGCAGGTTGTTCCAGTCAGTTGCACAGTGCTGCATGGGGCAGAAGCAGGCCCAGCAAGTTATGGAAGGGACTGGTGCCAGTTAGATGAGCTGCATCCTGCATTGTAAGAGTGCCAGCCTGGAGATCCCGTCTCATCAACTGACTGAAGACTCTGTAAGGCTCCTCCTGACCTTCCCAGCCCCCTTGATTGGGTAGACACAACAGACCCTGGGTGAAAGTCTTATGTGGGCATGTTCCAAAGTTTGAAACAATTTTTTTGACTTTTGGCCAAACTTCAGAAGATGCTGTGAATATCATTTGAACTAGTGTAAATACAAGGAACAGAAACATTTGTCTGGACTTTTGGGTTTGTGCAAATTGTGTAAAAGGCAGGTGGGTAACTGGTGCCTGTCCATCTTGTAATAAAGGGGCAGCTACTGATGCCAAGCACTTGTCTAGGGCAGACCTCCTTGTCCTGACATTCCCAGACTCCCAAAGAATATTGAAAAGCCAGTAACTTATTTTTCTTTATGTGAATGGGGGACCTTTAAATCACTAAGTTGTTTTTTAAAAAAAAAGTGGATATGTTTGGAATATGGGAATTCTGTGGAGTACAGGAGGGGTGAGGGAGGGGTTAAGGTCCAGTGTTGCTTTCCCCTCACCCTCATGGAATGCTGACAGACAGCAAGTGGAGTGGCAGTCAGAGAATGCCTCCTTTTTGTTGAAGAAGAAACAGGCCCTTTTGGGTTAGGGTCAGCTGTTTCCAGTAAATAAACCAGAGACCAGGCCTATAGCTTCTTCTTTTTTTTTTTTTTCCTTCTTTTTTTTTTTCTTTTTTTTTTTTTTTTTTTGGACAGTTGTAAATTTTGGAAGATGAGGGGTTAAATCTAGAACTTTTTTCACCCTCCCCTGTGACCACACAGTATAAGTTTGTAAAAAAAAAAACTAAAAAAAGGAAAAAAAAGAAAAAATTAAAACAAAAAACCCAAAGGACCAATACAGCCCATTTTGTAAGGATTTTCAATGTTTTGTAAAGTATTGGTCCACGTGTTGTATTTTGTAGCCTTTCTAGTTCTTGGGCTTTAGTTCTCCCACTCTTGTATGTATGCATACTGTAGTTACACATTAAAGTCATGACATGCAGCACGTGCCACTGTGCTTATTCTCTCCAATTTATCCTGGCCAGTTGATGTCTTCCAAAGCCTTTTCCACCCACTCAAAGCCTGCAGTTTTCCAGTGTGTTTTGGGCACTGCCTGTTGAAAGCAGCTGGGTTTGCTCTCTAGCACAAGGTCAGTGGGCAGATGTAATGACTAGACAGGATCTTGCTTTGAAGTGCATCAGGAAGGACAGTTGTATGGAAACAGAAATGGCTTAGGTGCAAGTTCATGAGCAGAGTTGTCCTCTCAGACAGGAGACTGCAGTGGAGGTATACAGAGTGTGGACAGCCCATCAGTTTCATTTCTAGTGCCTTTCCACCCTGCTGTCATCTCCCTGCAGCAGGAATCTGCCCAAGGTTGTGGTTCGCTGTTGTAAGGGTAGGCAGCTTCAGTGTTGTTAATAATATTGCAAGGTCCTTTAACCTAGCAGATGCTAGGAAATAGAGCTTCACTTCTTTCATTTTACATTATCAGCTTGTTAAAACTGACTGTTTAGTTGACTTGCTTTGGTGTGCACAGGGAGGTCAGGATTTCCTGCTCAGGTTTAAGAGGTTCCATACCTGGCTTTGCATTCACTGCATAGAGGAAAAAACAGCTCTGAGGGATCGCTGAGCCAGCTGTGCCAGTGGGTGGCAGGGAATTCTCTGTCTTCCTGTTCCAGGCATTAGTCACCTCTGTGTCAAGGAGCAGAATGTTGCTAGGTCCTACAATTCCATGGCATTTCTTTGCCGGGTCAGCAGCTGTGCTGAAACTGAGCCTTTTGAAGTTGGAACTTTGGACACAGTTCTCATTTCTTCTTCACTATATTTTACTATGCCTTCCATTCCAGTCCCAAGAACACTCAGTTTTACATTGTTTTCCAGAAATTGTATGCCTGTTCTTAAACAGGGTTGTTAGTTAGGCTGGACTGTTTTCCCTCAGGGATTTGAGGACAGCTCTTGACTTCTGGCATCCAGTGTGATACAAAAGGATATCTTTTAAGGGAATATCTTTCAAGTCTAATGCCCTAAACCACTGATCAGTGTCTTTTTTATGTGGTTAATGCACATCTTGTGTGCAAGCTTTATGGCTCTTAAATCTTGAACTAGCTGATACTCATCTGAGTGTGGTTTCTTAAGTGGGAGAATTGGGGTATTAAACTCAATGGCATTCCTGAAACAACTCAAAGCTAGTAAATCTTTCAGTGTTTGGCTCTAGTCCTTTTCTAGCTTCCAATTTAACAGGGTATTTTTTTCATCTTACTCATCTGGTGCCTGGTTTTAATTGGGTTGTTACCAGTTTTGCTTCTTGTGATCTTGCAGGAGTGCCAGTCACCTACATGAGAGGAGTCATCCATTTTCTATTTTTTGGGGTATCTTTTCCTCTCTGGTAAACAAGCTCTTTTGGATCATGTAACATAAAGACTTGTGTCCTCAGGGCTTTTTTTTCTGGTTTATGTTCTTGGATCTGTCCTTTCTCAAAGTTTGGTTTTTTTTTTTTGCATTTAATTTACTTAATTTTCTTCCTAATAATAGGATTGGGCATTTGGATATGTATAGAAATTTTACAAAACTCTGTACAATTCCAAATTTGAGTGGCTGAAATAATGGTCTTATTTCCTTTTTCCCTATGGTTCCAGCTTTATATGTGCTTTGTTTACTGAAGACTCCTTTACATCTAAGTTGCACCTCTATTAGATATTCAACCTTTTCATTCCCCAAATTTACTGTGACCAGGAGTTCTGTTGGGGATTCTTTGGAGCTCTCAGCTGCCTCTCAGTCTAAATCCCAATTCAGTGTAAGCAGTCTTTCTACTTGTGGAGTCTCCAGTCTTTGAGGATTACATATGCCCTGGGTTCTGTGGGCATTTGTTTCCAGTGCCCCTTCTGCTTACAGTAAGTACATTGAATTTTTCCTACTAGATGAGAATTTACCAGTTGAAATCTGATTCCCTTACCTTACCACCTACCCTTCAACTGTCACAACAATCAACCAAATTTACCATCCCTTTTCTGATTTATTTCCCCCCTTTCTTTCCTTTCCCTTGTCTACCTCATTCTCTTAATTACACTTTCTTTTTATTTCTCTGGTGCTAAAACATGAGTCTGGTGTCATCAATCCCATTCCTTCAAAGCCTTATCATTATTCTGCAATGCAAAGAACAGATCAACATTTGGTACTTTTCCCCATTTTCCTTCCTGGCAACAAAGTAACATTAATTGTAGGATCCATTATGATGCTGTTTTCCCCAATTCTCTCATAGATACAGAGGCCACCACATAATCATATTCTTAGTAAGCAAATCCTCCCCCAAGCTTTCCTCATGGTCCAAAAATACAGTCTAGAAGTGAAGTTCTCAAAATGCCCTTCTCAAATGAGGTGCAATTTTAAATGTTCATGCAGGCAAACATTACAAACAGTAGGTATAACAAAGTCTTGTTACACAGTGTTCAAACCTTTTATAGGCTTTGGTCATCACCAAGTTTGTGCATATCTAAAAAAACAAGTTTTAACCCAAACCCCAAACTTTAACCACGATACCAAATGTAATACTCTGACATGTACGTTTTCCAATATGATTTCTTTGGAGAGACATGGGGTACAAAAATACCAATTTTAACAACATCTCTAAAGGTTAGAGGCAGCTGTGTGAGATCCTGGTCAAATTCACTATTGTCCCATCTGGGAAACCAGAACAAGCTCCCCTCAGTACTGTTAAAACCACCCTGTCCCCACACTACAGGCAGGGCTGTAGCTGAGCTTTGTCACCAGTACACTGTGGGTTCTGGTTGTCTGCAATACTCTTTAACTGCAACAATCCCCTTACTCTTAGATGGGACTTCACACCCTGTTGAAGTAGAAAGCATGGGCTAGGTAAGAAAACTTGTTTTTATTAAATAGAGCTTGGCCTGTCAACCATCTGTCTTTTGTCATGCAAAACCAAAGCGAGTTCAGGCTAGAATTGCATCAAGGAGAGGGTGTGTATGAAATTCTAAGCCTGCAGCAGCTGTGGAACTGTGACAGTGCTCCTCCTGAGTAGTCTCAAGCCCACGCAATATCTTGTGGAAATAAAAGGAAATATTTGTTATACTGAGCCTACATGAAGACCAGCTAGATGGGCTTGTACTCTTGAAAATGTTCAACATAAAATATGTACAGATGAAGAGTTTAGTGTTGTCAGCAGGTCTTCCTGGCAGATACTCTGAATCTCTCCAACATTAGAGCTACCAGTTGCATTTCTGCCCTCTTAATCCAGACAAGGAGCAGCTCTTGCCTTAAATTTCTGATGCTGAATGAGGGAATCCTCTGGTGTTCTGACGGTATATGTCTGCCTTCCCCAAACAGCCATTAGGATGGCTGGGTTTCTTAAGGCCTCTGGAAAAAGGTGGTATTTGTGCTCCAGAGCTCTCATGGTACAATAAGGCCACTCAAAACCACCTTTGTGCTGTGAATATACTTCTTTATGTAGAGGTAGCTAAAAATCTGTCTGCTGTACGAGGGACAAATGGACTCGTAGTCAGGCTTGCCATCTATTCTCTCTGCTACAAAAGAGATGGCCAGAGGCTGACCTTTCCCTCAGAATCAGCTCCAGCCAGGTCCTGTCCAGGGACACTGAGGTTTCTATTGTACCAGCTCTAGCAGCTGATGCAAGATCCTTTTCTGTCCATAGCGCACATGCAGTGCTTGCTGCTCCCTTCGACTCAGTTTCTCATAAGCCTCCTTGTTATTTAGCAAGTCCTGCTCTGCTTTCAGGTCTGCCCCATAGGACTCCAGGGTCAACAGCACACTGTCATAAAGAAGCTTCTTGCAAGGGGTTTTAAGTCTGGAGAGGGCCTCATTTGAAAGGGTAGAGTTCTCCTCTTCCTCACTGTCGTCTTCCCAGCCATCTTGCTCCTTATACTCCTTGAATTCTTCTTCTGACATGCAGAGCACCTGTAGTGACCCAGGCAAAGGGATAAGTCACTGGAAGTGTGAGTACATCAGGCTTTCTCCTCTGTGGAACAGAAGAGCCATGTGGAGCAGGTGAGTTATTTCTCAGCTGCACTAAAAGACTAAAACTGGCTTAGATATCCAAGTGCAAGTAATTGTGGGTCAGAAGAACATTAAAACAACAAATCTGGATATTGGTAAGTCTTCTAAAACATCTCAGCTGTCACCTACAAAGTTGTGACAGCTTTCTAGAACAGTAGTGGCCATGGAGCCATTCAAGTATGTGAGTATACATGGATGGCAACTTCAGGAGAGGAAGATGACTTAACATCACCTGGGAGCTTGGCAGCCACACCCTCTACCACTGTTCACATAGGACTGCTAGTGCCAAACTGCCTTCAGGTGCTTGTCCCCTTCACTGAGCCATTCTGCACTGCTGCTTTGCCCAGCTGCACTCTGTGCTCCTTTTGCAGCTCTTCCCCTACCTGGCCATTCTTACCTTGAGGGTCACGGACAGCTCTTCCTCTGTCAGCACCTCATCCCAGCCAAGCACAAAGGCGCCTTCCTCCCCTACCATCTCCAGCTGGCACAAGAAGTCCCACTGCTCTGAGACCAGCTGCTGCTGCGCTTCACTTTTGGCACCTGTTTTGAAGACAGCCGAGCTGTGAACACAGCTGGATGGCAGTGGAGGAGGGGGAGGGTGAGTGGAGAAGGGGAAGCAGGAGGCAAAAGAAACAAGGCATGGCCCCACCCCCTGAAATGCTGTGGAACAGGCTTATTTTTCACATCATCGCTGTTTAATAGAGATCCCTACCCCAACCTTTCCCAGAGGGGCTGGGGTGCCACTCACGCTGCAGAGCTGCCCTGCGCAGTGTCACCATCTGGATGTCAGCAGTGTCGTGGGTGTTGCCAGGGTAGGGCTCTGCGAAGCCATACATGTGCAGCAGCTGCCAGTTGGCCATCTGCCCATAGGTGTTGAAGATCTCCTGTCCTTTCCCCACAGGCTGCGTTGTAACCATCCTCAAACACTGCTGCAAGCAGGGATAGGAAAGCATCTGAGCTGTGCTGAGCCGACTGCTCAACAGGGGCTTTCATAGAGTTCAGATGACACCGAGCTTCTTCTGATGAACACCAAACATGCATCAGGGCTTTGTATTAATGAGACTTGCTGCTGTGGGCTGAGACCCCACCTTGCTGTGCCCCCCATTCCCAAAGGTCTTACTAAAACAGAACCAAGCTGTGACAATGCCTGGTGCAGTAGCTTTGCACTCACAGGAGAGTATTCCAGGTTGGCGTTGTGGTTGGCCACATGATTCAAAATATCTGCTACAGGCACCATCATGGGAGGATTTGGCCCCTTCTCATCTTCTTCCTCCTCCTCCAAAGGTTCCTGAAAGCTAAGATAAGCCAGTGGTACACAGAGCTGCACAGGGTAAACTTCATCTTACACTTAGATTTGTGCAGCAGCAACATCTGACATAGCCTGTACTCCTACTTACTTGTCTGTGCTCCTTGCTGGAGCAAAGCCCTCACTTCTCACCTGTAAGCCATGACAAATGCCACCAGCTCCTTATACAACTCCAGAGTGTGCAGTTTGGGATCAAAGATGTCAGGGTGGGTCTCCATAAAAGGCAGGATGATGGAGTTGTACTCCTGGTAGATGTTAGCTAGATCCTTGTCCACAGCTTCTGGAATGCCTGTGCCCTGCAGGAGCCTTGTTCGCTCTTCCTGAGGCCTGTTGCAAGAAAAACAGGTTCTTCTCCATCTGCTAGGGATAAGGGTCTACTCCTTCCTCCTTAAAAATCTTAGCTTCCCTATGCTCTCCAGGTCCTTGTTCTCCAGCTCTGCCTGCAATGCAAATCCAGGAGCCCCTCGGGCTCCTGCCAGTGTCAGCACAGGGCTAGAACAAGGGTTGGGGTCACCCAGCAGGACCACATCCCTTCCCAGGACAATACCCAGCAGCCCCTGGCCTGTGCCTGCCTTCAGCTGTAAGACTGAGCCTCCCCAAGCCCCCTTGCTTTCACCTTACCAGAACATGGGGTGGTCCAGGCTCCGGAAGTCCTGCCAGAGGGAGAAATACGGCTGCCAGTGTGAGTTGCTGGCTGTGTACTCGTGTAGCAAGGCCAGCAGGAGAGGGACCCAACCAGACTGGCTCTGCAGGGACTCCTGGGCTACAGAACCAGACAGGATGGAGAAAACCTAAGTTGTTACACATTTCAGATACGACAAGCCTCTGTGTCTGTCTTCGGCCTGGAGCCAGGGATTATTGAGCTTTTATTCTGGTTTGTCTTGGGTTTGTCCTGAGCTGAACCAGGACCAGAAACTGCTTCTCTGGAGTTAGAGATGAGCTCTCCCAGGACCCACGGCCTTGCCCACCTCAGCCTGAAGCTCTGCATGCCTTCAGAAACCAAGGAACTGTTCTTATCAGCGCTTCAAGGAAAGCAGCATAGTACAGGAGCCTGTCACGTAGAAGTTGGAGATGTTGCACTGATGGACTTTTCTCCCTGTCCAGCACAGCTGTTAGGGAAGCGAGGGGCTGCCCAGCCTTCCCCTATCCTACCTGCTGTCAAAACAGCCCTACAGCATCCTGTGCAAACCAGGAACTGAGGCTTTACCACAGACCCATTTATTCCTTTAAAAGGCACAGCAGACGCGAGTGACACAAGAAGCTTGCACTCACCTTCTTGCAAGAGTGCGTGGATGGAGGTGGTGTGCTGGGACAGTAGCACCGTGCGAGGGATGGTGAACAGCACCTCTCCCGCCTCCAGCTCCTCGGCGGCCAACATCCCGTACCCCGCCACTGCGCCCTCCTTGCTCAGGCGGACCTGGGGCCAGAAGGAGCTGTGAGGGGCGGAGCGAAGAGACCAGGGTGGGCCTAGGACATGCCCGGGCCGGGCCGCTGTGCCTCACCTTGGGGTTCAGCTCCACCCCGGCCCGCCCGCACCATGCCAGGAACCCGGAGAGGGGGTCGGCACTACTCTTCCCCTGGGCGCCGCTCTCGACCGCCGCCTGTGGATGGAAACATGGGGTGAAGGGGAAGGAGCCATGAGGCCGATCGCGGCTCCCTTCAGCGCCACCGTTCCAAGAGCCGGTGTGTCCCCAGTTCCCCGGCAGCCCCCGGCTTCCCAATACCTTGAACCTCTTGGGTGCAGACGCCATGACGCTGCCAACACGTGGTCCCGCCCCACGTGGTCCCGGTCGGGCCCTTCCGTATGGGTGGGGGCTCCGCCCCCCATGGGCCGAGCTAACGGAGGCTGAAAAGGGACAGAAAGGATCGGACGGACCAGCGGTGGAAACGTGCCCGAAAGCTTCGTGTTCGCGGGGCTCGGGTGGGGGACTCACAGTCCCTCTCTGGTCCAGCCTCCGAGCACCTCCCTGAAGGGTCTGAGGTGCTTATGGTGCCTCTCTGTGGGATCCAGGGGCCACCACATGTCTTTCTGCGGGTGTGTCCACCCCGGGGCTAGTGCACCTCGGGGGGCTGCGGTGCCTCCGTGGTTTCCGTGGGGCTGCGCACCGGTGCGGTCACAGCTCCACACGTGAGTTAAAAGCAGCGGGCTCCAATTAATCAGGATCATTAAGCTTGTGCTCTTGTTCAGTCGACACCACACACGCTCCCACCGAGCATACGGGCTCTCATCTCCCCTCCAGGGCCGGCCAGAGCCCGCCGTTTTCCCGGCTCATTAGTGCTGTCCCTAGCCCCAGCAGAGGGGGCTGATGCCATCACTGGCTGCCCTAATGAAGCCAATTAGTGCGCATGAGGTGTTTGAAGAGGCCCCGCGGGGCTCTCTGCAGGCTGTCCCTGGGGCTCCCCCACCCGTCTGCAACTGGGGTCGGCTTTAATCTCCCTTCCTAGCTGGGCAAGGCTGGACTGGCAGGGTGGGTTCCCTATGGGGCAAAAGGGTCCCTTCCTGAAGAAGGAGGAAAGGCAAGAGAATGTGTGGGGTGACCTTAAGGTGCCCACCGCGGGCTCTGTGTCTGTAACCCAGCTCCCCACAGCCGCCTCCCTCCTTAACGCGGCTCCTGCAAAAGCGCCTCTGGGGCTCGGATTCTGCAGCCGCAGAGCAGAGCTCGGACCCCTGCGCGGCCACGGCCACCGCTGCTGCTGCTGTCCCCCGGCAGGAGCCTCCTGCCTCCCTCTGGGGGCGGCGGAGCTTTCACAGCCGCTCCCGCAGCATCCTGCTCCCCTCCCCGCCTGCGCATCCCTGCGGCAGCGGCTTCTTCCCAGGGCGCATCGCCCTGCCTGAGCAGTGCCCAGGGAGATGCCCAGAAGCCGGGTGTTCAGCCTGGCCCGCGCTGGCAGCCTCGTCGGGGTGGCGTGGGAGTGGGAAATATCAAAGTGGGGTCCCCACGTTGTCCCCGCAATGCCGCAGGAAAGGGGGTCCCCCCCGCCTGTCACAGAGATGCCCCCCCGAGCCCAAATGTGAGCCTGGATAGCTCAGTTGGGAGAGCATCAGACTTTTAATCTGAGGGTCCAGGGTTCAAGCCCCTGTTCAGGCGGTGCCTTTATCCTTTAGGAGCCCAGGGGCAGGAGCGGCACCTCCGGCCAGGACGGTCCCGCCTGGGGCAACTGGTGCAGGGAAGAAGTGTAGGGGATTTATGGGGTTGTGCTCTCCCCTCTCTCAGTGAAGGGTGCTCGGGTGCCCCAGCTGCCTTCAGGCAGCTTTCTTTAAAGTTTGGGTTCCTGCTGGCAGCTGTTTTTTTCCTGCGTGACAATCTCCATGAAGATACTGAAGGGAGCGGAGCATCCCTCCCGGGAGGGAAGCCAGGCTCTGTTCAGTGGTGCCAGAGGCCATGGACACACCCTGGAACACGGGAGGCTCCAGCTGAACATCAGGAGACCCTTTTTCACTGGGAGGGTGATGAGTGGAAGTTTCCCAGCAGAGCCCTGCATCACTTGAAGGGAACACAGTTCCTGTGAGAGCAGAGGCTGCTCATGGGGCCACCACACTGCCTCACCTGGACTGCCCTGTAGGTGTATAGACAATTCAGGATATTCTTGCAAAATAGAAAATCTTTTAACAGAAAATCAAGCCATTTTGGATGAAAAATACCCCCTGTCCTATGTAAAAAAAAAAAAAATTGCTTTTCAACCTGAACATACAACATCTGTTGATCAAGCATAGTAAATTATTTTTCAGGTAAGTTTAGTGGCCTTATACATCACACTGACTTTCTGTGGAAAAAAAAAAGAAAATTAAAAAAAAAAGAAAAGAGGAATGAGAAGTTATATATTTCCTTGTGTTTTTGCTGCTCAGCTGGGTAAAAGTGCTGCTGCTAATGGGCAGCTTCTCTAGATGTTTGCCCTCTCTTCCTCCTGTATTACCTTTAGAAGAGAAAAATGCTTTTTGAGCTTTCTCTAAGTAAAGAGATATGTGTTTTCAGTAAATGAATATTGGAGGAGTGTGAAGTCATGCAAGTAAACGCCCTATAAACTGCAAATCCTACAAGTAAATGCGCAATGATTTTTTTTCTTAATTTCTTGCTCTGGATAAGATACAAATGAAAATAAATCTATTTTGTGCTAGGGAAAAAAAAAAATAAAAAATCCACTCCTTCCTTTTCCCAAGCACCAGCCCTGCAGAAGCCTGAGCCCATCTGCCTGAGTGCTGCAGCCTTCTGCTGCTTTCAGATGTCCCCACAGCAGTGAGCTGAGACCCTGCTTGGGTGGTGCCTTCTCCACCACCAGCCTGTGCCACACCTTATGTAACTCCTCTTGGGCAAGCTGCTGAGCAGAGCGAGTTCTGCACGGCTGTCAGGAGAGGGCACCAAGTCCCAGCAAACAGGGTGACTCCGTTAAGGCTCCAGAAGGGTAAAGGCAACAGTTTAAGGGGCTTCCCCAGGCTGAAGCATCTCCTGGTGCCCCCAGAGATCATCTGCTTCTTGGTGCCCGTGGGACCTCGAGTTCCCAGACCTACGGTTTGTCAGGGTCACCCCTCAGCTCTGGGTGGGCTCTGCATCTGCTCTGAAAGGATCCCTGGAGGTCCTGCAACCAAAATCCTGCTCCCCTGGTGCAGGGAGTGCCAGCAGCGGGACTTTCACCTGCTTATCTTCCTTCTTCTGCTGCGGCAGATCCTTCATGCCCTGGGGGCCAGAAGATGAGCAAGCTGCTGCCTCCCACCTCCTCTCACTCTGCAGGGCTGTCACAGCATCTTCTGCTCCTCTTTCTGCAAAACTGTGAGGAAGTGGAACATGGAAGGCTGGACAAATTCCTCTAAATTCTCAAGTCTGCCTGGAAATGAAGAAGCTGGAGTGCTTTCCCCGAAGTGTCACCGCAGCCTCGCTGGAGAGACCCTGCACAGTGACTACGGGTCGGGAAATCATTGCTGGTACAAGTCTGGCCATCCAAGCTTGTGGCCCCCTCCCAGGGCATGACATCTTTTCAAAGCGACCCCCTGGCAGCTGCCTCCCTCCCGGCTCTTGACAAAAGTTGCTGTGACTCGGATTCGAACCGAGGTTGCTGCGGCCACAACGCAGAGTACTGACCACTATACGATCACAGCAGAGGGGACCCTGCCACCCGCCGGGACCGCGGGGAGGCAGCTCTGTCCCCTCCCCTGCCACCGACACCAGCACAGCCCCGCCAACAAATCCTGATTAATTAAGGAGGCTACAAATGGACTTGGGCGCTGCCGCTCGGAGCCTCGGCAATCTGGACTGAGCCCCTAAATTGTGCAAAGCACCGGCAGTGCTGGGATGGCACCCAGCAAATGGAGCTGCTGCGAAGGACAGCGCTGTTGAGGGGCCTTCTGCAGTGGGGCCATCACCCTATAACACAGCAAAGTCAGGGTTATAATAATTTCAGCTAAATCTAAGTGATACAAGAGGTGAGGAATTAATTTACTTTTTAGCATCATGTGTGATACAACAAATTTGAGGGAATTCAGTTAAAAATACAACAAATGGCACAATGATCCCCATGGGGACATGAGTGGTTCTGTGGGAAGGATGCAGTCAGGGAGGTCTGGATAATCCAGAATATCCCTGGCCCCTGTCACCCATCATTCCCAGGGTCCCACTGCCACTTCCCTGCCTGATCATGATCCTTATCCACGTTTCCTCCCCAATCTCTTGTCTTTAGAATTGTACTTTGCTGACTCCAGAGCTGCATTTGCTGTTCCTGGTTATGGCGCAGGTTGGTCTCAGTGCTGGTGGTGAAGAAAGGACTCAGTGTGGGTGGGAGCTCCCTGCTCCTCATCCAAGGCAGCCCACAGTCCCCTGGCTACCATCCCACTGCTGCCTCCTCCCCATCCACAGGATATACAGTGGGGGATCCCTGCTGTCCCCATGGACCCCGAGGCCTCATGTGCCCATTTGGTCCCACACCCCACTCCATCAGCCCCACAGTGAGTCCCAGAGGACCTGTGGACATCTTTGCTTATCATGGAGCCTCCAGTGCCATATGTGCCTCGTGGAAATGTACACCAAGAGCCCATCCTGCCTCCACACACCAGCTCGGAACAGGGAGCCCAGCCACCAAGAAGAGAGGTACAGACAGGATTTAACAGCAACACAGAATAGGTTCCTGTCCCTGAGAGGATTCAAGGCTGCACTTACAGATTTCCCATTTGAGGCCTTGGTCTTCATGGGTGTTTTTAGCTACCTTGATCTCTGCTGGAGGAACACAGCAGGGCATAAGCAAGCCAGGAAAATCACGTCAGGTTTTGCCTTCCTGACCTTTGTGGTAGAGGAGCTAATGATGAGCAGGGCTCTGCTTAGACTTGGAACTGACAAACGAGGAAGGACTGGGAGGAGTGCCTGAGTCACTGTAAGGTGACGCTGCCATTCTGAGGGAGAGCTCTGGGAGACGAGCCGGGGGACAAGTTCTTATCAGAATGGTGTCCAGGTCCCCAGCTAGAAAAGAACAAATGTTCACACCAACCTAGCTCAATGATATGCAGAAACAACTGAGAAGAACTCTCAAAGCACCAGTGAGGACTCTCTCAGTGATAGTTAACAGAGGATCAAGGGAAGGAGGCTCACACAGTGCTATTTATTGTTTGTGGACAATCATTTACTAAGGGACAGGCACAACATGGTGCAGCAGCAGTGGTCCTCACAGTCAGAATCCTGAATCAGCATTTCACCAGGGTATGACCTTCCCTTCCCAGTCCAGGAAGGTCCCAGTGTCCTTCTCAGAGATGGAGGACAGCACCTTCAGCATCCCTTGCACGCTGTCATCCACTGTCAGGGGAGGCTGTGGGGAAGAGGGAGAAACAGTTCTGTGCTCAAGGATCTGCCCTGAAACAAATCATTGCTCTGGGCAAGGAGCATTCCCAGTTGCTCATATCCGTCCCTCCTGTGCCTCCAGGGTATCTGCCCAGGAGCTCTCACACAGCCCAGCATGAGACCACAGCAAATTCTGCATTCCTAAACCATGAGGTTCTCCCAGACCATGGACAGGAGATCTCTTACCTTAACCAGCCGGGGTGGAGAGCGACACAGAGGATGCCGTGCTCCTTGTACGCCAGGGACTGGCACTTGCTCAGCATGTTCAGAGCAGCCTGTGGGGAGACAATGCAGGGACGGTGGTGGGAGGGGAAAGGCAGCTGCCAGGGGACATGTGCAGACCCTACAGCTGGGCAGGGACAGGGCAGATGGGGCCACTACATGATGCTCCCTCACTATCCCTATGCCCAGCCTAGTTGAAGTCCTATTGTATCAAGTCCCTCTGAGGTAGGACCCAAGGCCAGGCTGTGCTGTGATGGGTACCCAGGGACTGACAGCTCAGTCACAGTGTAGAGAGGGGCACAGACTGAGGGGGAGGTTGGAAGGCAGTGTGATCATTTGGAGGGGAAAATGTCTGGGCTCACCCCCAGCAACATCTGGCAGTACCTTGCTGCAGCGGTACGAGACAACTTGTCCAAAATCCCATACATACATATCCTCAATGGAGCCTGCATAGCTGGACATGTTGACGATGGCAGCCTTGCTGCAACTCAGCCCTGAGCCTGGGCTCCCCTGGGCAGCTTTCTTCAGCAAGGGCAGGAATGCCTGTGAGGAGACAGAGGGACAGGAGCACACACAGACATGGCACAGGGCAGACAGCACCAGCTCCTTCCACAGTGGGCAACATTGACACCAGCACTGGAAGAATGTCCTCTTCCCATTACCCCAGCCAGTCTGGCTCCAGCTCCAGAATTCCAGCTCAATGCTCCATGAGCTTCTCATCAACTGAGAGCCCACTGGTAACCAGAGTGGAGGCAGGACCCCTTCCCATGCCCTTAATGCTTCCCCAGGACAGCCCAACATGGGTGAGGGTCTCACCTGGCCCATCAGCAGCGGCCCAATTGTGTTAGTGGTGTAAATCTCACTCATGTCCTCCAGTATTTCAGTATCAAGTGTGTTCAGCTTCAGAATTCCAGCATTGTTGATGAGGAGGTTCAGCCCAGAATCCCCCAGGTGCTCCCCAACCTTGGCTGCAGCCGCCTTGATGCTGGCAGGGTCAGCAACTTCTGCAGAGCCAACACAGGGGAGGTCAGAGCCTGTGTCCCCATGGGGGACTCTCCTCTGTTCCCCCAGAAGTGGCAGTGCCCAATGGCCCTGCAGGCACCAGCCCCTTGGCACAGCTCCCTCCCAGCACGGGGCTTCCAGGGTGTGCCCAGCCTGGGCACTCGCCAGAGGAACTGGGGCAAAGGATCTCCACCTCAGGGCACCTACCGAGCGGGATGATGATGATGTTGGGGTGCTTGGAGGCCAAATTCTGTAACTCCTGTAAGAGAGGGCACTGTGTAGGCATGGAGAGGCTGGAGGGGCTGTGCAGAGGAGGGCACTGTGTAGGCATGGAGAGGCTGGAGGGGCTGTGCAGAGGCTCAGCTGTTCCCCGGTTTCTGCATTGCTCTGGCTCCATCCTTGCACTGCCATGGACCCCACACTATGCTCCAGCTGCCTGAACCGAATGGATGGGGAGGACTCCATGCCCAAGTACCACTGTTCCCTCCACACATCCCATGCACAGCTGCTCCCACTGCTGGCTCTCTCAGCCCAGCTGCCCTGTGCCCCGGGTGCCTGACTGCATCTTCAGACACTTGCAAGTGCCCTCCCTGTTCCAATTTCCCCCTGACACTGAGTCCTCCCATTCCCCAGCACAGTCACTGCCTCCCTGCCCAGCCTCACCTGTGCTCGCTGTCCCTTGGGGTCCCGACAGCCTGCAAAGATCCACTGTGGTGGTTTTGGCATCCTCAGGAAATGCTGAACGAGCCCCAGGCCGAGGCCCCGGTTGGCTCCAGTCACCAGAACGGAGCGGACATGGAACCCTGCCATGCTGCTTGTCCTCCTCTGCTCCAGCTCTCACTGTTTGCTTTGCTCCCTAGTATTTCCTTATAGCATTTCCCACAGACACCCCTCCCACTCAGGGTTTACACCAACCCTTGGATCCAGGAGAAGCAACTGCTCCAGCCCTTTAAACTCCAGGACATAGACCCCGGCTGAGAGCCAGTTCTTGTTTCCAAAGGGCAAAAACCCTTGGTGGTTTCAGGCAAATTCTACTGTCCTTGGGAAACCTGATGCCATAAGCCAGGAGAAGATATGGGAGAGGAGGGAAGGAGCAGCATGTACAAGGGAGGTGGAAAGCTCCATGGCTCACATGGGCTTGACACCTTCACAAGAAGTGTTTTCTCCATCAGACCCACACAACACTGGGAGCAGGCTGATCTCATCCCCCTGTCCTGGTCCCCTAAGCCGGGACATTCTTCACATGGCCACGAGAAGACACTCCTTGCCTTGATCTTGCCTCCTCCAAGCCAATGCCCATTCCCTGACTGACAGGTGAAACAAAGCTCCCACGGAGGGAAGCAAACCCAGTGGATCCAGTCTCCTGGCAGGATGGGCACCTGCATGGCCAGCACATCACCAGCTGCTGGCCTTGCCCTCCAGCAGGACACAAACTGCATGCTTGCCACAACTAGTGCAGCATCTGTGTTTTGCATCAGGAATTTCTGCCACTCCTGGAGCACGCGGCGAAGGGTGCAGGGAAGGAGGGTCTGAGCTGCAGCCGGGCTGCTGTCATCAACATCTCCAGCAAACTGGGCTCCATCGGGCTGTGCCTCAGGGTGCCAGAGGCCCCCATGTACCCGTACCGGGCCAGCAAGGTGAGGCGCCAGGGGAGGTGCTGGAGATGCTGTCCCAGGCACGGTGCCCATGGAGGGGAGGGAGCCCATGGGTCACCCCCTGCCCCAGCCACCACCCCCTGCCCGGTTCTCCCAGGTGGAAGCACAGAGACTGGGACAGCAGAAGCCAGGACTGAGCCTTTCCAGCAGGTCATGCTGATGCTTTGTCCCAGGACCAAGTCCCATTTCCCACCTCCACAGACATTTTCTTCCTGGAAAATGTTTCCTCTCCTGCCCACCCACTCCCCGGGTTGTGCTGGCAGGGCTGTGCCTCTTCCAGGCTGCCCAGAACATGGTGATGAGGTGCTTGGCTGTGAAGCTTCAAGAAGAGAAGGGCTTGGGAAGCAACTTCTCTCCCCTTTCCCACCCCACATGTGCCCCTGTGGTCTCTCTGTACCCCCACCTCTGTAAACTCTGGCAGCTGATGCCTCTCTGCTCTGTCTCCACACCCAGTCTCAAACCCCCCTTCCAAGCCTGGGGCAGGATCCCTGTGCTCTGCCCAAGCGCTGTGTGTCCCTCTGTCCCACCTGTGACCAGGCATCCCCAGCTGAGGGGAGGAGGCAGCTGGTCCCTGTGACCCCCAGCCCCTCAGGCAGCCCAGCTGGGACAGGTGAAAGTCAGTCCTGCAGGGGCTCAGAAAATCTCTCTTCTCTCAGGAGAGGGACCCTGCTCCAGCTTCTCCAGTGCCTCCTGGAGGGGAGGTCTCCAGAGGGCAGTCCCAGTGCCATGGGACACTCATGGGAATGCCAGTGACAGCCGTGGGTCGAGGGCAGCTGTGGGCACCACTGCATCCAGCATGAGGAGTGGGATATCTGGGAAGGGGCCATCTCATGAGCTGGCAATGCACAACAGAGCTGGAGGCTATTGGCACAAGTTTATTGAGGATCTGGGAAACACAGAAGCAGTGGCACAGGGTCTCTCCTGGCTGCCAGGATCCTGAAGTGGTGTCTCACCAGGGTATGACCTTCCCTTCCCAGTCCAGGAAGGCGCCGGTCTCCTTCTCAGAGAGGGAGGAGAGGACCTTCAGCATCCCTTGCACGCTGTCATCCACTGTCACAGGGGGCTGTGGGGCAGAGGGGGAGATGCAGCCTGTGCCTGAGGCCCTGGTCCAGCCAAAACTGGAGGAACAGGGCACTCCAGGGCAAAAGAAAAGCTGAAAACCATGAACACCCACGACAGAGAGTCCAAACAGGGAACTGAGGGGATGGAGACACCCAGCACCCAAGACCAGGACAGGGAGAGCTGCCCCAGCAGCGATTGGGCAGGCAGGGAAGCCAGGGGCAGGGGCTCAGGACAGCAACTCCCACCCATGGAAAATCAGCACAGGGGCTCTGATGGACCCTCCCTGGTGGAATTCCTACCGTGTGTCCAGCAGCACTGCCCATGTCTGTTTGCACCCAGCCGGGGTGGAGAGCGACACAGAGGATGCCGTGCTCCTTGTACGCCAGGGACTGGCACTTGCTCAGCATGTTCAGAGCAGCCTGTGGGGAGACAATGCAGGGACAGTGGTGGGAGGGGAAGGGGGGGCTGCAAGGGGACCCACAGCTGGGCAGGGGGAGCAAAGGTGTGACAGTACCTTGCTGCAGCGGTACGAGGTGACTTGCATTATGTCCCAGCCAAAGAAAGAAGCGATGGAGCCGCCAATGCTGGACATGTTGACGATGGCAGCCTTGCTGCAACTCAGCCCTGAGCCTGGGCTCCCCTGGGCAGCTTTCTTCAGCAAGGGCAGGAATGCCTGTGAGGAGACAGAGGGACAGGAGCACACACGCAGGAATGCCTGTGAGGAGACAGAGGGACAGGAGCACACACAGACATGGCACAGGGCAGACAGCACCAGCTCCTTCCACAGTGGGCAACATTGACACCAGCACTGGGGCACCCTCCTTCCCCTTCCCAGCCAGCCTACAGCTCCTGAGCTCCAGCTCATGAACTGGGAGCCCATCAAAGCACCAGAGCAGTGACAGGAGCTCCTCTCACTGGCCCTTCACACACTTGATAATGTCCAGCTGGAGGACAAGGGAAGGGATCCTTCTGGAGCTGTGCTGTAGTGCTGGAGACTCACCTGGCCCATCAGCAGGGGCCCAGCTGTGTTGGTGGTGTAAATCTCAGTCATGTCCTCCAATGTTTCAGCATCAAGCATCTTAGGCTTGACTACTCCAGCATTGTTGATGAGGAGGTTCAGCCCAGAACCTCCCAGGTGCTCCCCAACCTTGGCTGCAGCTGCCTTGATGCTGGCAGGGTTGGCAACTTCTGCAGGGCCAACACAGGGGAGGTCAGTGACCCTGTGGTGGTTTGGGGTCCCCTCTGTTCCCCCAAGTAGGTGCCCCCCACAGCTGCCTCCAGTGTGGAGCTCCCAGGGCTGTGATGAGTGTCCAGGCATTCACCAGAGGAACTGGGGCAAGAGGGAACCTACCCAGAGCAATGATGACCAGGTTGGGATGCTTGGAGGCCAAATTCTGTAGCTCCTGCAAGAGGGTTCACAACATTGGTTCCAACAAGCTGGAACAGCTGTGCCAAGGCTCACCCAGCAAAGCCAGGCAAAGCCTGTGTCCCTCCAGCTCAGTCCCTGCACCACCATGAGCCCAGCACCCTGCTCCAGCTGCCCTGATCCTGATGCAGGGGGAGCAGTCCACAGCTCCTGCACACACCATGTACTCCTGTCCCCTCCACACATCCCATGCACAGCTGCCCCCAGAGTGTACCAGCCCAGCTGCCCTGGGCCACGGGTGCCCAGCTGAAGCTCCAGCCTCTTGCAAACACCATCCCTGTTCCAATTTCCCCCTGATCTCCCATTCCCCAGCACAGTCACTGCCTCCCAGCCCAGCCTCACCTGTGCTCGCTGTCCCTTGGGGTCCCGGCAGGTTGCAAAGATCCACTGTGGTGGTTTTGGCATCCTCAGGAAATGCTGAACGAGCCCCAGGCCGATGCCCCGGTTGGCCCCAGTCACCAGAACGGAGCGGACACAGAGCTCTGCCATGCTGCTTCTTCTCTCTCAACTCCAGCTTGCAATGTTTACCCAGTGCTCCAGTATTTCCTTAGAGCGTGTCCCACCCCGTCAGTGAGTACTCATGGTTTGCACCAATGCTGGCTTCTCTCCGGGAGGCGCAACTGCTCCAGCTCATTGTGCTCCAGGACATAGGTCCTGGCTGGGGACCAATCTTAGTTACCCAACGGCAAAAAATCTTTTCCAGGAAAATTATGCATTCCTTGGTTAACCTGATGCCATAAGCCAGGTGGGGCTGTTGTGGGTGAAGAGGGAGGGAGCAGCATGTGGGCTGATGTGGGAAGCACCATGGCTCGGGTGGTCTTGACACCTTCACGAGCATACAGTGGGCTTTGCACATTGTACCAGGTTGTACCTCAGGCGCAAAAGTTTTCTGCATTGCTCCTGCCTCTTCTGAGACAATAACCTCTCCCTCATTGTGAAGCAAAAGACCCGTGGAGTGGGAGAGCAAACCCAGCGTGGTCTCCTGGCAGAAGGACGGGGACCTGCACAGCTGGTACAGCACCACACTGCAGGTCATGCTCCCCATCCCTTGGGATGCAGTCCTAAGTTGAGTTGTCCCTTTGTTCAGAGCCACAGAGGACTCAGGCACATGGGACATTTACCTGCAAAGGAAATGCCCTGCTCAAAGCCTATTTTCCACCTCGCCTGTTGCCATGAGGCACTGACTGTTCTGTGCTACCGCCAGTGGAGCCCAGTGCTGTCCGGTACCTCAAGTGATGCATTACAGGTTTGCAAGGCTGGATCAAGTGTGTGTGTACATCATGTGCTCCTGTCCCACTGTAAGTGAAGACCCATCCCCAGAAACCTCTTGCCAACCCCTTGTTTTCCTGCATTGAGTCCCAGAGCCATTGCACATGCTGCTGGGCAGAAATGGGGACAACACTGCTCACATGTCACCTTCTGCCCCAGGATATCTTGGCAGCAGCATTAATCAGAACAGCTTCCTCCCAGTGGCAATGCCGAGTGTGTCTCCATGCTCCAGCAGCAGCTCATTTCCTCCTGCCCACTCCAGCCTGTTTCCTGGGGCTCAGCTGGCAGACTGTGAGATAAGCAGGTCCTTCCCTGCTCTGACCTGGGACCACCTGCACAGGGTACCCTCCCCAAACCCATTTGGGAAGATGCACATTGGCAGCTCCTCTGGCAAGCTGATCCCACATCTTCTCTCCGCCAAGTCTGAGCCTCTCCTTAAGTTCTATGCACTTTGTTTCCTGAGGTTAATTTGACTTCTGTCTACTTTTTGAATTTTCCAAACTGGGTTGAGAAACTTACATTGCCTTGTGAATTCCTACCACTTACCAGCAGTACAAAGCTTTGGGCCTTTCAGCCTCTGTCTCAGACTCATCTCTGAGGATCTCCCAGATGGCAGGACTGGGTCATTCAGGGTCCCTAGATAATTTCAATATTTCCTTTTCAATGACCACAGACCTCAACTACACTTGCCAACAGATGCACTAGAGCTCGGCTCCTCCAAACAGACTTCCATAGGTGGAAGTGTTTTCCCCTAGGTGGAGGATGAGGCCATCACCTGCAGCCTGTTTGAAACCTCCACAATGCCTCAGAAGCAGATGGCATCAGAAAACAAATTAACATTTTATGTTTCCTATTTTTACTGTGTTACCACATTTGTGTAGCCTTCCACTGTTTTGGAGCTGTAACTTTATTTAAAGTTTACTTTGCTCTGGGGCCCCACATTGCATTATTGATTATTAGTGTTCAAACAAGCACTGTTTCATCAGGAGACTAAGTCCATGTCCAGCCTGGCATGAAGAGGCAGAGGGGAAAGAAACCAGCCTCACTGCCTTGCAGCCCAGCCTTGTCACAGGGGCTGCTGCTGTCCCCAGGCCTCTGGAAAGGATCTTGGTCCAGCTCCTAAGAGGGGATTCAGATGCTTCCTTTGCTCTGAAATGTTCTTGCATGGTCTAAATCTCATGCTAAGCACTGAAGTCCTCAGAATCATAGAATCATTTAGGTTGGAAAAGGCCTCTAAGGTCATTGATTTCAACAATTAAGCTAGCAATGCCAATTCCGCCACTAAACCACATCCCCTAGTGCCACAACCACGCATTTTTTAAACATGTCTGGGATGGTGACACCACCACCTTCCTGGGCAGCCTGTGTACAAGTGCTTGACAGTCCTTTCTGTGAAGAAACTTTTCTTAATATCCAATTGAAACTTCCCTTGGTACAACCTGAGGCTGTTTCCTCTCATTCTATATAACTTGTTACTTCTCTAGACACATTCCAGCACCTCAACGTCTTTCTTGCTGTGAGTGGCTCAAAACCGAACACAGGATTCAGGATGCAGCCTCACAAACACCAAGCTCAGGGGCACTGTAGCTCCTCTCCCACGACCCCCCAGGCTGCTGCACATTTTACCCATGGATAGTTTTCACATCACCACACTGAGAAGACTCGGAGCCAGTTTTCCAAGAGGTAGTCTCACCTTTTCTATCCTCAGTTGCTGGAGTTGCTGGAGGTTCAAGCATGCTCTCAGTAACCGAGGTGATTGCACAATGTCAGTGCTGCTCACAGAAACATGGAGGAACACACTTTTCTCTGCCTGCCAGGGGAACAGGGGTGTGGCACAATTAGTTTTAGTACATTTAATCTACTGTAAATAAGAAATAAACTTGCTGGCCAATTTGCTCCACAATGCATTCAAGTCTGTAGGTTTAGCAGGTCTGTCATCACCTATTAGTAATTTGCTAAAAATCAATAGATAGTGGTGAGTCACTCATCGAGAGGTGGGGGGAGACCAACCCAGCACTGTGACTGAAGCTGGACAGTACCCATCCTCCCTGATTAATTTTCTTTTGGGCTGAAGAGGATTAGTGATTCAGGTTGGAAACCCGTGGCAGGAGGGTTGGAACTACATAATGTGTGAGGCTTCTTCCAAAAGAAACCGTTCTGTGATTCAATGATATGATACTATGAGTAGTGACACCCCATTTTGAAAGGATGCAGGGACTAGGGACGAGAACCTGAGCTTACCTGCAGCTCCCAAGTGAAGTTCCCATGGCACCTTTGTCATAGATTTGCTGTTTTCCAAGCAGACTCATGCAGGTTACACCTGCATGGTATCAGACTGAGCTGGAGAGGGATTTTGGACAAGGGCATAGAGCAAGAGTACAAGGGGGAATGGCTTCACACTGATAGAGGGCAGGGTTAGATTGGGTTTTAGGAAGAAATTCTTCCCTGTGAGGGTGGGAAGGCCCTGGCAGAGATTACACAGGGAAGCTGTGGCTGTCCTGTCCCTGGAAGTGTTCAAGGACAAGTTGAGCAGCCTGGTCTACTGAAAGGTGTCCCTGATCATGGCAGGGGTTGGAACAAAATGGTCTTTAAGGTTCCATGCAACCCAAACCATTCTGTGATTCTATGACTCTGAGGATGTAAAATGCTCACACTGTCCATGCAACCTCCCTTGAGCCACAGTGTTTGGACCTTGTGCCAGCCTGGGGCCTCACACTGGGTTCAGAAACACATTTTGGGGATATTCCCCTTGTGACAGCAGCCAAGATGCTTCAGCTACCTGGGTGCAGCAGGGCTGGTAGCACAGGGACAGAACTCTTTTGCCAGGACCCATGGGGACAGCACAGATCCTCACTGACCTTCTTTTCTCCCATCCTCTAAGGTGTGGCTGGGTTATCCTTCATGCTTCAGCACAGTGCCATGAAGAGGGACCTCAGAACCACCAAGCAACATGAATTTGCTCTCCCACTATTAGATTTGCTAACAGGGATGGCTGAGAATGGGTTGTCACATGTGGCAGATATGCTCCATCTAGGGAACACTAAGGCACAGGCTAAATGATCAGCTTGTGACAGCCTTGGTTTGACATCCACGTGTTGAAGTGAGAAATGGAAGCACACATAAGTTTAGGAATAAATACATGATAATGCAGATGTTAATTTAGGAATCCATTTACTCCCTGTAAAGAAAAGCTGAGAACCATGCTACTCCAAAAATGCCATGCCAGCCTAGATGATGTGACCCATTGCCCACACAGCTGAGCAGAAAAAATGCAGTCCGTGAACAGCAAAAATTCATATTGTTCTGTAAGCAGCTGTGGACACTGCTTGAGTAAAATGGGCTGCATTGGTATTTCATCAGCAGAAATGAAAACTTACCATAGTTGTTCATTCTGGTTTCAAACCATATTTGTGAAAAGGAAGGGGAAAAAGACACACTTAGCTTTTTATTTTTTTTTTAATTAAGATGTTTCCCTCTCTTCCTCTAACTGCATTTTTTTCTTAAATCCAGTGACTTAAAGCAGTACTCATGATGGATCAATCAGCTCAGTGCAAAGGACATGTGCCCACATGTATTTTGTTCTCTACAGTGCAGAAACTTTAACCAAATTACAGCATCAATGAGCTGATAACAAGAATTACTAGATTTAATTTTTAGCTAAGTGAACTCAAATACTTCTTTGCATTCTTAGGGAAGTCTAGTAGAAAATGTCCCTGCCCACATCAGAGGAGATGGAACTAGGTGATCTTTAAGGTTCCATTCAACCCAAAACATTCCAGGATTCTATGATTTATACCCTCAAACACACCAATATCACACTCGTGCTTTACCAGGCAGCACGAGTTTCCCAATGCCTGTTATAGTGAAACTAGAGCACTTGGATAAGCCTTGGGCCTTTTTTGTTTAATTATTATTCGTTGGTGCTCTTTTTGTTTACATTTCTCATTATCACCTGTTGGAAGCTGCACAACACTTAAACCAACAAGGTTTTCAAAGAATGTATAACCCTGTATTTTGTTCATGGGGAACAGAGGCAAAAAAGCGGGTCAAGCAATGCCCACACCCGCTGGAAACTACTCAATTACTGATACTTGGAACTGCCTTTGGTTCACATTTGCAGTCAGAACAGGTTCCTCCTGCCCTCAGCTGTGGCTGCACTTTAACTATTTTGGCACAGCAGACCGCTGGGGATCCCTCTCTCCAAGGCTTTTCCAAACACGCACTTTTCAGTAAGGGTTCATCGATGTAATTTGTCTGCAGTACACAGGACCTGTGTGGCATGCCTGGTCAAACCAGATTGTGGTTCACCCTGAGTGTTTGTACCCCTCAGTCATTATTTGCCAAACTTTGTCATGGCCAGAGCAGCATTTCTGGTGAGAAGTCATCAAATTAATGGCCTGAGCACAGAAGGAGGCAGTAAAAGGAGAATGGGACCTTTAACCCAAATATCTGCTAAAATGAAGGGTTTTCTTTCTTAGTATTAAGTAGTATAATCAGAGATTTATTTTTATTAAATTCTAACTTCTGTAAAAGAAAAGAAAGGTCTAAAAGCATTTTAATATCCTGAAGTAAACTGGGGAGCAGAGGCTCCTGTGTACTTGAACCACCATGGAGCAGGATAGAGTTAGCACAAATCACCTGATGCTATCACCAAACTGATATAAATATTTATGTTCTGATGTATTTATCAGTATCAGAGATGTTTTGTGTAGTGTTTGTCAAACAAGGATGAAAATAAGCAATATAAATAACAACCTTTTTATACATCAGAGTTGCTCGGTCATTACTTTACTGTTGAGATCTCAGTTGTGTGCTCACCATAATGGGAAAAATCCCATTTTAATGGGATACCCATTTTAATGGGGATCTGGCTGTCCATATAACAGCTACAAATAAAACAGTAACACCCACCTCCAGGCTGGCAGCAGGGCTGGTAAATGCAGACCCCCTCCAGACACTGTCCTCCAGCTGATGCTGATCATCTCTTTTCTATTTTCCCTTTCCCCTCCAGCCCTGTTTTCCCATCCCTAGATGCCAGCAAAATGCTTTACTCTATACTACCCATTTGGTGCAGCTGTTTAATCAGGTACCTGATACTCAACAACAAAAATAAGGATAAAACATCCCTCAGAACACCTGCAATTCCAAACTGCTGCCTAAATCACAGAAACATTTGGATTGTAAGGAACCATAAAGCCCATCTCATTTGCTCTGCCATGAGCAGGGATTGCTCCAAGCCCTGTCCAACCTGACCTTGAACACTTCCAGGGATGGGGCAGCCACAGCTTCTCTGGGCAACTTCTGGGACGGCCTCACCACTCCCCCAGGGAACAATTTCTTCCAAATATCCAACCTAACCCTGCCCTCTGTCAGTTTGAAGCCATTCCCCCTTGTTCTTTCGCTCTATGCCCTTGTCCGAAGTCCCTCTCCAGCTCTCTTCCAGTCCCTTGAGGCACTGGAAGGGGCTCTAAGGGCTCCACGGAACCTTCTCATCTCCAGGCTGAAAAACCCCAACTCTCTCAGCCCATCTTTATGGGAGGGGTGCTACAACCTCAGAGTATCTTCGGAGATGTAGTTGTTTACCAGATTTGTTGCATCTGATGGTCAAAGAGCCAAATCATCTGCATTTCCGGGCACGCAATAAAAACAGCCTGTAAATGGGCTGGTACTTGTCAGGTTAAACGGGTTTAGTTTGGGTTGGGTGTTGTTTTTTCTTTTTTTACTCTTATCTATAGTGAAGATTAGTGTGCTAAAGGTGCTGAAGACAGCAGCCCAGACCTGCTGCAAGCTTTCTCCCTCACCCACCTCCCTTGGCAAGAGTCCCCTCAGCCTCCCCGGTTCGCTCCGAGACCCCTCGCTCCTGCCCCCGGGGACGCCGGGGCTGGGTCGCGGCTGTTGCGCTCGCACTGAACGTGAGGTGGGAAGGCAAACACTGCCATCCAGCCACACACACACACAGTCCCTCCCCCGCCGGCCATCCCCCGCGGGCTCGGCGGCCCGGAGCGGCCCGCGGGG